ATCCTTCTCAACAGCTTCTATCCAGCGCCTTAATTATGGCATAAGGTTGCATTATACATGGGCATACCAAATGACCCCAATTCTCCTCCATGCAGAATCTGCCACATTACATTATCTCGCTTCCTGTCATACAGCCTGCAAAAGGCCTTGGCCTCCATTTATGAAATCACCCCCGAGTTGAACACTGGCTGATCAAGCATCTGAGTGGATTTGTTATTTCTCACAATAAGAGTGCAGTTCATTGAGCCACACTACTCATCATTGCCTGGATTAGACCCCACAAAGCCAGCTGAAGTTTTCCTATGGCCTCATAAGGCAAGATCCACTATGCTAAAATGGGACCACTGCAGGCACTTTCAGTGTATATAGAATTTGATCCATAAAAAAGGAGAAGGAATGCTTCTTGTAGAAAGCAAGTCTGCAGACTTTTGAACACTGTGCTTACCTCTAAAATCACCTTCTTGGAAATTGACACTTAGCAAAGACAGGTGACAGTTAATTCCTTATCATTTATTTATTCTGGGAATAACTAATCATATTGATTAAAATATCCCTAGGTCTGTTACTTGGTTCACCAGATTAAAGCTCCTCTGATTATATCTGTGCGTTTTCAGAGAGGTTGCAAGATTCATCTTTAAACAGAATAAAGGCTGAATTCCAGAATGGCTGTTATTGCTACAGCATGATACAATACCCTTAAAAGAGATAAATAATAAAGTGACTGAAAGAAATAATTCAATAAGATACAAACAATGTTCCATATATCTATTTGCTTTATTGTTATTCTTAAATTTCTTCAAGTAAACTTAGGAATTATATTTATGTAACAGATTTTCCTGATTCGAAACACACAGATAATGTAGGCATACTTCTGAAAATGCTCTAAAAGCATTCATTTCTAAAATCTAAAAGGAGATTTGAAAGCCATACAAAGGCTAAGAAAGAAGTCCAAAATTAAACAGTGGCAGTGAAAAATGATAAATCTGTTAGAATGAACGTGTTTGTATGCCAGTCCGGAGTTCCAAGGTGAAAAAAAAAACAGCACCACTTCAAAAAATTTCACATAAAGTAATATTTTCTTTCTGCACTGTTTGATGTTACATACACAAGCAAACACACATTTGGGTTATGCATACACAAATCCTTTGACTTCAACAGCTAGATTTCAACTCTTGACTTTATGGGGTTTCCAGCTCAGAATTTTTATTTACAGATGTGAATACTTGGGGTAAGCATAGACTTTCAGTACTTTATCAGTATTTGGGGAAAAAGAAAAAAAAAAAATCCATCAAAAGCCTTCATGTCTTTGCATTTTGAAGACTGCTGAAGTTGTTAGAAAAAACAAGGTACAAAGGTGTTGTATGAAAACAGAGGTAGCTATCTGAGAATCTGTAAACCCAGTCTAAAAGAAGTAAGCCCCTGAATATATCAGTCTCCTTTTTCCAAATCAGAACCACAGCATTCTCTTTTTACCACTGTTATTCAACCTAACATTCATATTCCCCATGTAATTATTTATTTACTTTTACAAATTGCATGTTTCCCCCTTACACAATCAAAATCTCTTCAGAGCTGACCCCACTTGCAGTGCTGCAGCAACAAAGGCTTCAGGGAACGAAAGAATCAGAGAGTAAAGATGGGCAATACTGTAATTCCTTGCCAGCCCTTGGCATTCAAACTTCATCACATCTCCAAAAGCTCATTAAAACAGAAATTGGACTTGATTGGTCGAGTGGGCAGCCAGACAGAGTCAACATGCGTGAGGGAAAGTGAAGAATTTTTGAAACTGATCATCAAGCAGCCCCAGCAATCAGATTTATAAACCAGGGACTTACCGCATAAGACACAGACGAGATTGATGCTGTTGAAGAGGACCTGCAATTATCTAAATTAATGAAATCAGGAAGCCACACCTGCTCCACATCACTGACTCATTTCTCTGGCTCTGGCCCAAGCTTGGGAAAGTGGATTTAGCACTTGATGGGTTTAACATGGGATGAGCACGGTAAGTTATATGCATCTCACAAGCTCTTTCAAAGTGTTGTGAGAAGCACAGCATGGGTGAGAGATCATGGCAGTTAATTACTTCCCTGCCTTGGCAGAAAAGCACCACACATCCCTGGAGGGAGTCCTTACATTTCAAACAAAAAGGCCTTTTCTACAGGCAGAGAAGTTTTGCGAGCGTAAATTGGTTAATGTACCTGGATGATCAGAGCCACTTCTACCTTTGAAGGCACTGTCAGTCTTTGCAAGGCATTATGGGATAACTCCTCATTCTTCCACCTAGTAAATGTTTTTTGAGAAAGATCCAAACTCAAAGCTATAGTGGCTGTAACATACACTCTTCAATAGAAGATAAGTCATATGCAAAGTCACCTCTAGCCATAGGAATACACCAAGGCTGATAGAAACAACCTTTGTTTTGTTGCCTTCCATTCAGCTCTGGAAAGGTAGACAGTGCCTCTAAGGGGAAGATTCATGGAATGTAGGAGACAGTAGAATAGCAAGCATGTGTCCTTTAGTGGGTTTACTGTCACTGTCTCATATCTGTACATTCCCCTCTCTTTTATTGAGCAGGGCCTCATCCTGTGCCTGCAGTGCGCACTTCTGTGATTCCCACTGCCCTGGTAGGAGAAAGTCCTTGGGGTTTCACCTCACCTCAAGAGATAGCAAGAGTTTTGGCAGCAAGACATATATGCATGGAGACATGTAAGGCTAGTGGCAGGGAGACAGCTTCTCCAGTTCCATTCACATGGAGATACTGCCCAGTGCCAACAATGGCAATTCTCACTATTAGAAGAATGCAGCAAACACTCAAATTTGAGGCTGAATAGTGACAGAAAGGCTAAAACACAAAGTAAAAGGCACTGAAACCCAAGCAGGTTGACTTCAGAAAGAGGTTTTATGTTTGCATGTTTCATAAGGCATGTTTACAAGCTTCGCAAGTCTAATTGCAATTCATTTACAAGAACCGCAAAACCACTAAAGCTCATGGAGGGGTGAGATTCTATGTAAACTGGCCATAATTTTATGTTTTAGATCTCTGATGTCTGATTTGGCAGACCCAAACAGGATAATTCTCTCTCTAACAAAGGCCACAGCAGAATTATGCTGATAAAGAAATACTTATTTAAAAAAAAAAACAAAACACAACAATATCTCTTTCTACCCTCAGTGCTTTAGAAGGTTACCAATGTTCTGAAATTCAAGTTGCCTTGAGAATAAGAAAATATAACAAAGATGAAGACAAATACAAATACATAGAAATATACTGACAGCAAAGAAGAATGCTTATTAGCATTACGGTAACCCCCAACCAAGCCTGGGTCCTGCACCACTATATCAAAGAAAAAAAAAAAAAAAAAGAAATTATTGTTTGTTTGTTTCTTTTTTTTCCAGTAGAAGCTTAGAAATAACTGAGCAGAAAGGGAAAGGGAAAACAAAAAAGTCACAAAAACAATGCAAGATCCTAAAAAAGAAAAAGGATCAAATTTCCAGAGTGAAGTCTCCTCTTTCTTTCCTTAATTAGCTTGAGATGATGCAGATGGGTGGGTGAAAATTACTCCTCTAAGGGTTAGGAGTCATTCAACTGACTAGGTTTGCTAATGTACAGTGTCTAAACTTTTTTTTCCCCTACCATCATTGTCCTTCAGTTTATATAGTTCTTCTTCCTCCCTCATGTTTAATCCTCTCTTATGCACTTATTTAGAATAATCCTACCTCCTCTCAGACTTCAATTTGCAGGCTAAGCCATCTACGCTCTTTTCATCTTCTGAAAACACACACTCCGTTCTTTGGTAGTCTTTCTTTGCCCTTCTCCCCATTTCAGCTTCTTGAACTTCAGTGACAGAATTATAGAGTACATTCACGTAGCCTTGGACAACAGCTAATTACCTTATATGTGCTGGTAACCTCTCCCCAGTACATCGCTGGAGTTACATTTCTCTTGTTTCTTTCAGCTGCCCAGCAGTGGCTTCAAGTTCATCTAGAGACTTTCTCCTTTGCTTTCAGAGGATGTGTACTCTGATTAAAGTAACAACTCCTGCATTAATCTGTAATGAATGACTTCACATTATTGAGATTAAACTGCTGGTGGGCCATGTTCTCATCTCAAATGCAGAGCAAATCTTGACTCATTTCATTAACCAAAATGAAGTGACCTCAGATTTCCAGCCATGTAAGATTCATCTTTAAACAGACTTTTGGATGAGCTATCTACAGCTACTCTGGATGCCATTAAAAAGTAGTGTTTATAACATATTGTGTTGTGCATAATGTTCTACAAAGAGAGGTTGCTTTTGCCATGACATATGGTGTACAATGTAAATGAACTCCAGTGTAACAAATTAAAAAGCTTTTACAGCAACCTCTAAATACTATTTATGACTCCCAAGTGCTACCTAGGCTGGCCACCAGTCAAATAATTATAGCCTCTACACCAAGTGCCAGAGTGCATTTTGTTGACTAACTGCTTCTACAGAGAGCTATGCAATCTATTTCCATGAGATATACTATCCATAAGCCTCCATCCATTTTGACAGCAAAATTGCAAAAGCACAATGTGTTACCAGGTGTCATTCAAAGAATGGATGCTGTAATGAAGTAGCCATTTAAAAAAAAAGAAGTCTCTGATGATCTTTCCTAACTATCAGCTTTCGTTACAGCAAAAGAAACTCGCCATGACATAAGGCCTATCCAAAGCTTGCCAAAGTCTCCCACTGGCCCAGGAGCACTCTCCTGCTTATGCATGATGGAAAAACTGGTGAGTAGGGCTGGTTGAAATACAACAACTGAAAACACTTCTAATGAACAAAGGGGTCCAGTTCTATAGGGAGGTAGAATCTGGCAGAAAATATCCAATTCCCTGAAACCTGGTTTTTGTTTCAGAGAAAATTCTATTTATTTGCATAAAAAAAAAAATAATCTTTTCAGAAACAAAACAAAACCAACACAAATCAGCAGCAGCTTCCACTTCTGTTTCTGGGAGCTTATGAAAAATATAAGATAGCCTATTCTTATCATTTAATGAGATTTATCTGTTAAATCATCTAAGGGCTGGGTTTTTTCTGTGTTGTTCAGGTTTGTCTGTTTATCAAATTAATGCAATAGGGTACCTAGTAAAATCTTTTTTTGTTCCACCCGAGTGCAGCAAAAGGTAAGACGAGCAATAGGTATTCCACAGCTCTGAAAGGACTTCATTTATGTCAGGAAAATTGCTTCTTGTTTTTCTGCTGTATGTATATTTAAATACAGCTAAACTAGTATTGCTACATATCTCCATGCTGATTCCAAAGTGGAAAGCAAGCAACAAGCATAGCCCATTATTTGAGATATTGTCCTGTTTTGGGGCACATCTCCTAGAATGATGACTACATTGCTTTATTACTGGACTATCCCCTTTAAGCTGTGTACAAGCCTGGTTTAAACCCGCACAGCAGCTTTCCACAGTCAAAGGTTTTCTTACAACTGAGCCACACCGGTTTGTGACAAAATTGCCATGACATTATGACTTGACTTTAAGAGGCACCGGCAATGCATTCATCAATCATGAATACTATATTTAAGCTGGAAAGCACTTGTCCCATTGTCTGACTTAGAAGAGAGTAACAGCATTAAATACCTACATAGCAAGTGAGAGTATATGTTTGTAGTCTTTTGTTTACAGAAGTTTTGAAAGCAGTCATTTTTAGATACAGACTAGTGAGAGAATGCATAAAGAACTTAAAGCAAGGAAGAAGATGAACAGCAAAGAACAAGGGGTTCTGGACATTTTCTGCACTCTGTATTTATTAACCATTATATGACTTTGTGAAAGAGATAGATTTAGAAACATGTGTTCCCAGGACACCCAGGACACAAAGCATTCTGCAGTAATTTAGGAAATGCTCTTCACTCACATATTCACATCCTTTTCTTGCAGATGTCCTAAAAAAAAAATAAAATAAATCTGAAATGGTAGTATCAGAAATGTTTTATAAAGAACAAAGGAGATAGCAGATTTCCAAAACCTCATTCTAGAACTCTAGCTCGAAGGGAATTAAAAAGGCAATAGTTTTACCCTGTTGTTTGCGATTAGCAGGTTTCTGTCAAAACCAATTGACGCTCTAGGCCAATTTCGCCTGTAGTTAGGGCCATGTCTATCACTTAGAGCAAAATACTGTTTACAGAGGGGAAAGGTTCCCACAAATCACAGTCCAGACACACTAGATTTTGCAAATGTCTAGACAAATAGGACCATCCCTGTGCCAATGTTAATAAACCTTCACACATTCCAGTAAACACGTGGTAGTTCCCTATCTCAAGTCAATCATTTTCAGTACCTAATGAGAATGCTCTTAACTGTTAATATTTGACTGTTAACACCAATTGCCTTAACTCAATGTCCCTTTGCCGAGCAAAAGCTTCAGTCTGGCTTTTATGCATGGTAGAAATCAGCATTTTCCATTATCGGTGACTGCACATATATATTTGAAGTACTAAAGGATTAAAAAACTTAAGGAGAAAATATTCTTGGTAGCTGACTTAACAAAGAAAAGTATTAACCCTGGCTATCAGAGATTGAGTTGCAACTAAGGTAATGAAACTAAAATTTCTAAGAACACAAGTGTAACAGAGTTAAGTCCACACCACTTCAGATATTAACATGTTGGCACATACAAAGTAACTATATAAAAGAGGAGACTAACACCGGGGGTTTTAATTCTCCTAATATGTTGCTAATGACAGTGATTGTGTCTCTAAATATCAGTGATGTTGTTATCTGAGAAATTACAGTTGTGCATTCAGACAGTTTCATAAAGTAATACTGGTACAATGAATCTGTTATATGCCTTCTCTCTAAAAATGAGGTTATGCTTTTAGATAAAATTAGATAATACAACATTTAATAATTCCCCAATTGTTTATTTGGTTTTAAATATGATGACTTTTACTCTGATTAAGCAACTATGAACAATTTTTCTGTTATTTTCACCAGTCTGTTAGCAATCTAATTGGGATACTGAGGGTAGTACATAAAATAACAACTAAAGCTATTTCAACTCAATAGCTGGTATACAGCAGCAGATTACCAATTACATTCAGAAGACAAATTACCAGTAGATTTCATCTCCCTTAAATAAATACCAATTTAAGTCAATAAGGTCTGAAAAATCACTGCATGCTGAGAGGTAGTTATATGGCTACCTTTAATGAAAAATTAGCTGTGGGCTAAAAGATCCATAAAGCAGCTGAGGACATTCTGTTTTCACTGGATTAGGGCACAGTTTCTTCAAGTTTAGCACAAGTATTCTGAAAGGAGCAGAGACAATCTGTAGCAGGAGTCCAAAATCTTCTGTACTGCCACTGAAAACAGGACTTTAGTTAACATTCACATCCATTGTCAAAGTCCCTAAAAATTAAGGGCATAACAATGAAACGGTAATGCATTAAAATTACATTTTATCAGTATACAGAATCATAGAATAGCTAGGGTTGGAAAAGACCTTAAGATCATCTACTTCCAGCCCCCCTGCCATGGGCAGGGATTCTTCACACTAGACCATGTCACCCAAGGCTGTGCCCAGCCCAGTCTTTAAATATATTAAAGTCTTCATAAAAAGTTACATATAAAAGTGTTCATACAGAGAATAACTGTTGCCTGTTTAATAGCAGGAATATATATTTTAAGTTGCATCTTGTTATAGGTTAAATAGCTGGTTTGTATTTAACTTCATGATTTAAGTGCAATTATGTAATAGACTCAGTTATAAGAAACATATAATTACTGTATGGGCTGGGAAGCTGGATTAACATTGCCATCTAAATGAAAGAGCCTTTACTACTCCCGATATTAACACTGAGAAAATATTTAAATTGCTGACAAATATTTACTTTTTCTTTGGTTATGATCTCAATGGTTTGTGGACTTTATCTTTAGTATGGAAATGAAGATTTCATGTCACCGAAGTGTAAATAGCCAAGTAGTGAAAATGCATTGGCACCAGGCTCATCACATAAATCCAGCTTGTAGAATAAACCCATACCTGTTCTCCAGCTTCCAGATCACTGCTCATACCTTTCTCTTCACAAAACTATGGGTACCTCCCCATTCTCTCTCCTAGTAATCTAAGCCTGGTAAGATTTGGTGGTTACTGGCATCTAGGTGGACTAGAATTTGCTGATGGTCCCTGCTGGCACTATGGTTCAATATTGCATCAAGGTAGAGCAGCCACTTCCTCAAAACACCTTCCTGCTCCAACTTAAAATACTCATGAAGACACAGACTGAAGATTCTGAGCTGAATACCCACATCCCTGTTCCTCCTCTGGAATGCCAGCTCCTACACCTGTGAGCCTTGTTCTCCAGTGTAACAGCCCATTAAGCCTCAATCACTAGTTATTTAAGTGAACACAACTGGGCTGTGAATAGTACTAACTAAAATAACATAATCACCTGTAAGGGATTAATTAAATTAATCTCCCATTTATTTCATGATTGCCCATTGACATTGACAAAATAAAACTGGATGTAGCAAGCTCACTTCAGCTCCCCTGTAGCAAAGTCTGGTTGCCTTGATTAAATTAGCAATCTTGTTTATCACAAAAATAAAGATGATATCCCTTGAACATAACTGAAATTGCTGGGTTCAGATAGAAGAAAACATCAACCACATCTAGTCCACTGGCAAAACCAAAAATCCAGGAGCAGAACATTAGGTTTTATTCTTGGAACAAGCGTAAGAAATGTAAATTGTGATAAAAATGTATATGTGAGAACAAATAAAGTATCATTAGTTTTGAAAAAAAGTGTTTTGTCTTCTCCTGGCTACTGTGAGCTAATTTATAACTGAGTTCCTGCAACCACATCCCTTGGGTTTTCTGATCTCAATAGCTTAGGACATCAGAGCATAAAAGTTTTGTGGGGGGAGAAAAAAATAAACAGAAAAACAGCCCAACAACAAAAAAAAAAAAACCAAAAAAAAAAAAAATCAAACATTTTTTGCATTGTTTAGACTTTGTAAGGGAAGGAGTAGGCTTACACATCATACCTGGAAATAAATAGCAGTCAAAATCTGAAAACACCTTAACATATATTTAGGGTAAACAATGACTGTAGCAAATATTTGCAATTCAAATCTCTGCAATTTTCTTCTCTTCTTATGAAAAGTCCTTCCAGCACTTTAGAAAGGATTAGTTATATATTAAAAAAAGAGACTTTCTCTACTGGGGTAAACTGTCTTTCAAATATTTCTGACTCAAACATAAATCCATTTACCTTTCACAGGCTGTTTTGTAGTTCTTTTTGTGGTGCTCATTAATTAATAAACAAAATCTACTGCATTTAATACAGCCTGTTTTTCATTCAGCCTTATATTTCATTTGCTGCGCTGACACTTCCCCAAGAGTAGTTTACGCAAAATGGTACAAAAAGAGTTCTGAAAGAAGAGTCATCAGTAAAGCCAAGATGTTGAGAAGTTCATGAAAAACTCCGGGTAGCCCAAATGATGCCAGTTTAGAAACATCAGTTTGGTCTTGTCCCATGCTGGGGCAGTCGTCTTTCAAATTCTTTGAAATGTTTCCATGAGAGTTTATTATGTCGCAAACACCCATTTTCTTGCTGAAAAGCACAAAAATTTTTTGCAATTGGAAAAATCTCGATAGACAAAAGCACCAATCTCTTGGACTCCTAAATCCTTTTGACAAAAACCTCAGTCATGAACCCACAGCAACAGGGTTCTAAGATTCAGCTTAAGCAGCATGTTCTTGAAATTTCAAGATTCAGGATTCAAAATCAAATCACATTAGCTTTCATATTTCTGGCTGCTTTTGGTAACAACCTCAGAAAAAGAGGATGTCAAATTTTAAAACAAATACCTGTTCCAATTACTTTGATCTCATTCACTTGCATAAACAACATTATATGTGGAAATGATGCATTTCTAGCATTTTAAGTGTTAAAAAAATCCAAAGAGACAAAAATTAAAAAAAAAAAAAAAAATTATGAGCAAAGCTCAGGAAAAGCCTTTGCTTTTTAATTCTAATTTCTGTCTCCCATAAACAGCATTTCCAAAAAAGGAATACAGCTTACTGGCTAAATTAGACCAGGTAGTGATATGTCAGACCTATAGTCTTGCCAAAATCCTATCTGTTGATTTAAGCATGCTCACTGATATCAGATTATTAATTGTTCCCTGCTGTAAGCACTGTGGATCTGTGAGTGACACAGAAAGGTTAATCCAGTTTCTCAAATGCTATCTTGCATTTGGCCAGGAAAGTCAGAATTAGTACTGCTTTATGAACTATCCATGCATTCAAATCTTCATTCCAGCATGGAAAATTTTGCTGTTATAGGGAAAATAAAAAGCTGTTAATGAGAACCAGTATGGCTGCCAGGATTGCTTTTGTACCTATGCCTCAGGAAAAAAAATGAAGTAGGTGTAGTGAGTACTATAGAGAATTACAGGTACCTCAAGCAGTGGTGAGAAGACGTAGTAGAAACAGTAATTCCCCTTAATAAAGCTCAAAGAAAGCTGGAACTATTTGGTGAATAAGACTGTTGTTAATACCTGCTGCCTTTTTCTGAGCAGAGCTGTGGATATCCTCTGAGCTGATAATGACTTCGGTACTCTCATAGCTTCTTCCTTCTCAGTTATTCAAGGTAAGTTCCATTTTCAGCAATTTCAGAAGTGATCTGGAAGTTCGTCGGTGAGGAATGTCTTGATTAGTCAGACCTGTTGGTGACACATGCTAAATAAATGTATCTTATTAAAAAAAACCAAACACCTGAAAGTCCAATGAAAAATAAATTATATTACTTTCATTGGGAATCAGCTCTATCAAATATAAGCATATATCAATTACTGGATAATAGGAATTATGCATACACAAAGTGCAAGAAAAAAATAAACATTTTGCCAATTAATTGTACATTTTTACAGAACAAACCATATTATAAATATATATACACTTTGCAATTATTTTTGTGTGACAAGAAAAACTACCTATTGTTTTTTTCTTGACTAAAATTGCAGTCTTGAGTTTAAAAAGAATAATTGGTCTGCTATCTAGAATATCAGTAAAGGGCTGTTTATTCCTAGTACATTCCATGGTTAAAGCAGAGCTCTGTTCACTACAGTAGCTTTGGTAAGAACATGCTGGCTCTTGAAACATCATAAACCCAGGAAACACCAAAATGAAAAAATGGAATCCTTCCACCTGATAATCGGTTTATCAAAGTCATACAGATTTTAAAAGTTTCCTATTCTCTGTGAAATGACAGCAACAGTTCTGAGGAAGGAAAAACAGCCTTTGACACAAGAGATTTCTTGCAGGCACAATCCAACTAAAAATCATAGGATAATTAGGGTTGGAAAGGACCTCAAGATCATGCAGGTCCAACCCCCCTGCCATGGGCAGGGACACCTCACACTAAACCATGTCACCCAAGGCTCTGTCCAGCCTGGCCTTGAGCACCGCCAGGGATGGAGCATTCACAACTTCTGTGGGCAACCCATTCCAGTGCCTCACCACCCTCACAGTAAAGAACTTCAATCCTTATATCTAACCTGAACTTCTCCTATCTAAGTTCAAATCTATTACCCCTTGTCCTATCACTACAGTCCTTATTGAAGAGTCCTTCTCCAGCATCCTTGTAGGCCCCCTTCCCTTACTAGAAAGCTGCTATGGGGTCTCCACGCAGCCTACCCTTCTCCAGGCTGAACAGCCTCAACTTTCTCAGCCTGTCTTCATACTCAAGCCCGTGATCGTCCTCGTGGTCTCCTCTGGGTTTGCTCCAACGGTTCCATGTCTTTTTTATGCTGAGGACACCAGAACTGCACACAATACTCCAAGTGAGGTCTCACGAGAGCAGAGCAGAGAGTCCAGATCACCTCCTTCGACCTGCTGGTCACACTTCTTTTGATGCAGTATATGGTTGGCTTTCTGGCCTGGGAGTGCATACTCATAAATGTCTATGGAGAATTGGGTGAAGGATCAAACAGCATTCTGAAAAAAATTCCCAGCACATTATTCTCCTCAAAATATCTGTTTTCCTTGAGGAGACATCAACAGAGTTTACTTTCAAAAAAAGTGATTTGGATGCTAAAGAGTTCTGCATACCATCACTTTTTTTATCATTTGATGTGGTGATGAACTGAGCTGAAAGCTACCATGAGTACGGAGAATGCAAGTCTCTGCATTACCCCAGAAAAAGAGCAAAGAAGGAATTGTCAAACTGATGCCACAGATGCATCCAGTCATGTAATATTGACATTATTACCTGGTCCTGAAGCAGACTTTCTACCTCTTGCACACCTCACCAGCTCCTGGGACTGCAGGAAGGGGTTTCAGATTTTGCTCTTTCTCCACCTTGTCTCAAGGGGGAGCAAGTAGAAGTTAATTACCTTCTTGATTCCCCAAAATCACAGTCGAAGTGGAAAGACTAAACCCCCTTTATTCCACCACTCAACATTACATCAGCTATGATGATGTCTCCATCTTCTTTAGATTGCCTATGCCATGCACACAACCCAAATAAGAACATGAGGGTGAAGTCTACTAGGAACAGATCAGAGTGGAGCTGTCAGCTAAAAATGCATCTGCATGGGGAGAAGTACTGTGTGTCAAAGTCCTCCATACAGAAGAGGAAAAAAAAAAGATATTTTGCCAAAATAAAAATGGATTTGCCTTGTTCATACAGCACTTTTCAATAACTAAGATTGAATACTGTGCAGTGGTTTAGACTAATTCATTTTATAGCTGAATCCTGGTGTTCATAACTCAGTTCTATTTTCTCCTCAGCCACCACACAACATTGATCCTGTGAGGATTTTGCACCTGCAAAGGCATTTCTAAGTAACATACTGAGTCATTTCTGGATGGACTGCAGCCTTTGGCCTATTTGGTTTCCAGAATCATTTAAAAGAGCTCTTATCAAGTATTAACTACTGAGTAGAAACGTTTAATTCTTGGACCTTAGGCAAAAAGTCCTGGTGTGCAAAAAAACAACAACAAGAGCAACAGGTTTCACAAATCCATAGTAAATTTTGTTCATTGTCTGATAGGGGTACCAAAGGAGCCACAACTCAGAACACATCCCCCCCTCCACCCAAAGACAGTAAGGTGCTGTTTCCTAAAGACAGCAGCTCTGCATTGCTCCACTGCAGCTGGAGTCAAACAATTATGTCCACCTAGAGTCTGTCTCTGTTGTACATAAGGGTATTCCCAGAGTGATAAATAGCATATGCAAGCCTGCAAAGACAGCATATGCCAAAGACATGAAGGATGGCTCAAAGGCAAAATGAAGATCACTGCAAAGATTTTTGGGAGCTCTACAAACTGAATTTTACAATCTCTAG